AGTAGGAACGAACTTGGTGTTCTGTGATTTTTATGATTATATAGTGTTTACATTATTTACAAAAGTGTATTGTGTATTAGAAAAGTTTAAGAGTCCTCTAGCCAAGGCGGCGAAATGTTGGAATTCAGTCTGTTTCCACAGATCAAATTGTGGTCGCTGAATAGAAGCCAATGAAACCTCAAAAAGCGAAACAAAAGTAATTCATTTTCAAACAATTTTAGGACTAGTATGTCTATACTGTTACCAAACAACAATCTTGGAGGCTCGCTTATTCTCTAAAGTCCACCTTTGTTTGGCTCTTCAAGATTCGCGACAGTCTTGGCTTGAGAGAAGCACTTGTTAGTTTTATTGCTCAACTTGAAAAAGTTTTAAAATCTCTTCTTTTTTTGAAGGTAAAGCTAATAACGCCCAGTTCTCAGCAAAGTTCAATGCCTAAGCTTCTGCCTCCAAGCTCTTTGTTACTCTCGTCTGTAATTCGCTTGAGGCATCAAGTCTATTTTCATTTTATTTTGCTTCTTAATATGTTTTCTTTTGCTGCTGCAAGGCTGGCAAGTTAATGGAGAATGAGAAGCAGGCCGCTGTGGGTGTTGCAACTACAAAGACCCAACGCCCGACTTAGACAAGGATATGCAATGGCCAAGGTGTGAGAACGCAGTTGCTTGTGAAGCGTGCATGTTTTCTTGCTATTGTTGTAGTTTTTGTGTTGTTGTTGTTGCTGTTATTGTGTTTGTTCATCTTCATGTTGGTGATGTCGCTGTGGAAAGTTCTTAAGCAGCCCGACGCAGTCTTGGCATTAAAAATTAAAATGCACACATTAAAAATTCTACTAAAAAGAGTTTGCAATTAAGTAGGACTTAAGTTGAAGTGTAAATAAAAATTCAAACACACACACACACACAGTCCCACATACACACATATAGAGACGACTGGCGCTTGCTAAGACAGCTTTCAATTTGCCAGCTTCTTAACGCCCCGAAAAACTTACAACAATTTCCTTAAGACTGCCGCTTAATTTCCGGTCACTCTCACTATTACTTTGGAAAACAAACACACACACACACACCCACACTCGCTCACACTCACAGATATGCATAATACCATATATGGTATGGCAGGCAGTTAAGCACTTTGAAATCCTTGAAATTTTTTGCGGCTCCTGGCCCTAAAACTTTTCACTGGTCAGCCACTGATAAGCAAATTCTTACAGCTCACTTGACTTGACCAGAACATAGCCACCCCTTATGCATAGTTGGACCCAACACTCAAGCACACCCACACGGAGAATTGCTATTTACGGTTATTAAAACTTTACTAGTCTATAAAATTTTAACTTTCATACCCAAATCACTCAAATCATTTTAATAAGTAAATTATGAACATTTTCATATAAATAAACAATAAACAATTTATTTTGCCATGTTCATGTCCTTGTCCCAATCTGTTTCCATCCCTTCACGAAAATCACTTCAAGACAAAAAAGCATAACAACAAATATTTGCTGGAAGGATATTTTCGTGCAAACTAAACGGAAAACTTACATAATCCCTGCCAGCAGCCACTTAAATTGCTACGCATGTCCATGTCTTCATGATGGTCTGTGAGTGTGTGTGCTTATATAAGGATTAAGTCGTTTTGATGTTGTGCACAGGCAGACGGTTCATAATTATTTGCCTATACACGCACACGGTCCTTGTTGTTGGGCAGCCAATTGGTCAATTTCTTATTAGAAGCAAGTCGCAAAGACATTCCTATTACCACTCCCTTTCCTCTTTCTCCCTTTTTTCTTCTTCCCCCTCCATGTTTGCTAACATTTGTGAAACTTTTGCAGTTTCAAATCCATATTCTACTCCTGTGAATTTCCATAGCTAATTAACATCGTTTGATCAACCAAAGCATACTTTAAGGCGCTTAGCTGCAACAAAATGTTAAATTCAATCAAAAGAAAATTTCAAATGCCACTTATTCCAATATGCAATTTAAATATTGATTTGGACTTGCAAGCGAAAGTTCAATTCGAAAGTTGAGGAAAATTTCACAGCAAGGGTGGAGTGTTGGAGGGCACTGGGAGCTTCATTATACTGGTATAGCGCTCAGAAATGCTGTAACGTTACAAGAGTGCGACGTTGGCGCAGGATAATAAATCTTAAGCTGCCGCTGATACGCCGCATGCGAAAGCGGCAAAGGGCGCATGAAAAAAGTGCGATATGAAGGACCGCACAATATAGACACAGAGGTAGCGACAATATCTGTGCACGCAAGGAGAGTTCATTACAAATCGTTTGTCAGCTTAATGCGGCATGGGGGCAGTGAGCTCGCCTGTCTGTCTGTCTGTCTGTCTATCTGCCCATCTCTGGTTCAGTTTTAATGCCTCAAACGTTTTTAATTCAATTTATTTTTCCTGCTTTCAGTACCCATCCCCATCCCCATAGACTATACATATTTTTACTGATAATGCTAATAAGGATAAGCGCTGGCTGGCAACGCTGCCAAGGATTTTAAAGCTGCACAGCCTGTGGGCAATTTACTGGGCTATCCAGGACCTGGCAGCAGTCAAAATTTTTGGCGAATAATCCAAACGCTCGCAGCACTTTCAATTTTATAAAGTAAGCGCTGTCGTACCCGAAGCACAACAATTAGCGAACTGCATTCTGCATATATACTTAGTATATGTATCTGGCCAGACATATGCACTAGCATGAAATCCGCTTTTGTTTCAGCCCCAAAATCATGGTGCAGGATAATAGATTTAATGAGTTTATTATTTCCCAGCTGCCGCGTGCATTTACATTGTGCCCCAAATGTTGTGCGTCCAAAACGTTTGTGCACCACGACTACAATAACATCGGCAGTTGGAGGCGTATGTGAGTAAGAGTGTAGAGCGCCCACTTATACATGCCTAATAGTAATTTGAACACTGGTTAGAGAACTATACGCGAAATTAAAAGCGGCAAAACAGGCATATGTTTTAGGAATAAGTGGGGCTCCCATTAGGGTGGTTAGATGAAAGCAATTTATGAATTGAATGTTACTTGGCAGCCGTTCCCTCTATACAAGTATGTTACATAGCTTCGGAAATTATGAAGCAGATCAAAAATGTCGAAAGTTGTGAAAAATATAACACTGAGGTTGCAATTTGTCAGATGCATATTATTAGCATCCGATAACTCTGAATTATTTCGATTCCATTGTTGTAATCAACTTTTTTTTGTCAATATTGTGTAATTTAGTTTAAAGAATTTAATTAAACTATCTATAATTAGTGTGCACATTCAGAACTTTTCTGTTTATTTAGTATGAATGATAATGTCCCATATTTTGTTAATTATGTTGTTTATTTTTCATAAACACTGGCAATGTATTTCCAATGGTTGAATACCCCTAATGTGGGTTCATGAAAATTGCACAACACGCAACAGTATAGTTAGTACTATATAAAGAGGGGGAAATTCGATAGTATTGTCTGCACCAAAAGCTGCTGATATTGGCTTCCGAAATATTCTTTTTTGTGGATCTACTTATGATGGTTGGCACCTTAAAGTGTTGGTCGCTTTATGCTCGAGCGGGCGTGTGAGTCCTAAGGCTACCACAGCAGGTTGATGATAATTCATTATTCCTTTTCCACATTCGTTGTCGATGGGAGACGTGTAATTGATTTATTCATTTTTAATATTTCGTCCATTGAGGTTTTAATGGCAATTAAAGGATTTTCAGGAATCAAACGCACACGCACTCGCTGCCCACGCAACAGTCTCTTTCAACCTTTGCTACGCATACGAATATGCGCTCAAATGCCAATCTGTGTTGCTTACCATTTTTATAATTGGAATAATTAATAATAGCATTACAGCATGCGGTGGGTGTTAAGCTTATTTGTGCCTCATCAGCATCGTGGTGTGCAACTTGCAGCACTAAATGTAAACTCCCATTTCTATTCGCTCAACATTTTCAATAATTACGCGCCGCCAAAAATGTTCAAATTTCGCAAATTCATTTTTAAGCCGCCTGCAATCGGTCACAGAAAAGAGGTACTTCATTAGTAAATGCATTTTAAGCATTATAAACAATATAAGAATAGCATTGCTATACCTTTTTGTATTGTATAATAACAATGATTAATATATGGTATTTTTTATTTTACTTCTCTCATACAATTCTGCTTTCAAGTCTGTTGGAAATATACAAATGTTTAGTTCCCTTTATTTATAGCTTTTATCAGAGAGAGAGAGAGAGAGAGAGAGAGAGAGAGAGAGAGAGAGAGAGAGAGAGACTGGTTCCAAACTTTCTTAGAGGTAGCCTCGGCTTGCAACATCTAGGTCTAGTTTTGTGATCTTCCTTTTGATCATTATACATGTATGACCATCAAAAAAATTACATTTAACATGTTTTGTAATCATTTTCAACGATTCAATCATCAAGTTTATAAGCACATAATAAAGTAGAGAACTTCGATGATTTGAGCACTGGTCTTAAATTTTTATGTAGTTCCATATTTATGCAGTTAATTAGTATTTCTACACTGAAAAAAAAATCTATCAATATAGCCGTGAAATGCCAAATGGAAGAGGTGCATTATTATTTGCAATATTTGTATAAGACACGCACTCAGGCGGCTGATATGTGCCACTTGATATCATTGAGCTGACCACAACATATTAATTATTATTATTATTTGAAATTGATTTGAATATTCAAAACATAGACCACTTTAAACGGCGCGGCTAACCAGCCCAATTGATAATTTATTTAAATACCTAATGCATGTACTATGTATGTACTATGTATGTATATGTGTACATATTTTCATATAGAACGGCAAATGTTGTGTCTAAAGTGCGTACTAAACCGATTAGCAGTGGGGTAGTGAAAGCGTTTGCATGTAGAAACTACCAATTCCCTTCAAATTCGTTAAGTACTTAGCATTGGGCCTGATAATTTGGTGTGTTGTGGCTATGAAAAATCAGCCGATTAACTCTCGAACCAACTGTGCTCTGTCTTTGCAGCAAAATCACTTCCACTGCACTGCGTGGTGGAGTCCGTGCACTCCCTGCACGCCTCGCTCACCATTGATACGCGCCAGCCGTGGAAACGACGGCCCAATATTGAGACAGACAGCTATGTGATCATTGCAGCAGCCACGCCTTGGAGCGAGATTGTGCAGACGGCGCTTCAGCGTCTAGGATACTCGCAGGAGACGGCCAACACGGCCAGAGGTAAGTGCATCTTTATTTGAGACCTTGTTTTTGGGAGACGGACCTAATCATTCTGTGGTCCTCGTCTGCAGGCTCCCTCATCATCAAACACTGGAAACCCATACCGCTGGAGCAGATCTCGGACAATCCGGCGGTGCCCGTCAGCGATATTGTTGGCGAACTCACCTCGGTCATCACCTTGCGGATTGTGATTTTGCGCCCAAAGACATCGCCCTTCGGTGAGATCAAGGACAAGCTGCTGAAGCTGCTCGTGCTGCAATCGCATGCCGTATTGCGTTCCACCGGCTGTCCCCTGGACGAGGTAAGCTTCTTCAGTATTAGCTCAGACATGGGCTTCCCTTACCCACCTATGCTAAACACCGTGGAATGCTAATTAGGCATTCACTTTGAACTTTCACTTAATTTTGCACTAAGATGGCAATATTCTATAATGATTCGTAAGGGGCTTACGACAACACACGACGCAGCTATTAGCTATTATAGCTTTTTGAAAAGTTGCTAAAACTGGTGAAAATTCTAGAGAAACCCAACAGGCAGTAGCCCATCAGCCATCAGTCAGACCTTAAACTGAGCTCAAGAAAGTGGCAGTAGCTGTGGCAATGGCAGTGACAATGGGAGTGGAAGTTTAAGGAAACTTCCTGCCAATTGCCTTGCCTACCAATGCAAACTCAAGCCGCTAATTTGTGTGAATTGAGAAACGTAAATAGCCCACACATACACACATATATGTATTTACATACAATGCAAAGGGATAGACAGCCAACTGTTGCCAACAAAAGTTTTTGTTGGCCGATTTATAAGCGAGCGAGGTAAGACCAACCACTGCCGTCTCGTCGTCACGTCGTCACGTCATGGTATGTGTGTATGTGTGTGCATATTAAAATCATTCAAAATGTTTTGATAATGACTACAAAGAAATTTTGCTGAGCCGAGTTCATTTATTCGGTTCACTTAACTAATCCTTTTTCGCAATAGTTTTCATATTTAATCAGCTTTACGCTTATCGTACCTCACTGAAATACACACGTCGTCCTTTTTACTGTGTGTGTGTGTGTCTGTGTATGTATGAGCGATTATAAGTTTATATGCGCCATGTCTTAGAAATCGGCTTGAACGATTATTGAATATTTTAAAATGACAGCAGCTTTCATGCATCTGCTTGCTTTAAATGATATCCTTGTCGATGTATTTTTGTAGCGATGGACATTGAGTAGCTATTGTTTGAAATAATGAAGCATTTGAATAATTTGAACATTTTTAATTAAAATTTAATAGCTTCTATATTTGAGTCGTGTTATTTATAAAACTGTGCTTATTTAACTTTTCATATAATTGATTGAAATATTCAATAATTCATAAAACAAATTTTTGACCTTACGTACTACAAGTATATTTATCGAAAAACTGCGAAAAAACTTCAAACAATAACACAACATTAAACTGATATAACTGAAATCGAATTCAGCAGGCTATTTGTATATAGGAAGGTACTATATATACGAACTATAGACACTTATTAGCGAACATACCACCGATTTATTTTGATAAGTTGTTGTGCAAAAATAAATTTTTTTAAATAATTACTAAATGGAAATATTGCGAGTCCCAATAACCATAGAACAACACAATTTTTCATAATAAATAGTGGAAGGTGCTGGCAAATAAATATAACTTTGTATTTGTTTTATTTTGAATGATAACAAACATATAATAGATTTCACTTTATTATTGTGAATATAATATATTTTATTAAAATTTTTTGCCTTATCATATTCTAATGTTCAAAATTAAAAAGCTTCCCTATTGAGTAGCGCTAGCTCTTGTGGGAAAAATTCGTCAGGAGCTACTTGATTTTCATTTTGGAATTTCTAAATAATAATTTCTCAGCAATTCAATTCAATGTTTTTTAAAAAACTTTACCCATCTTGGCGTGTCTAAATCATTCCAGACATATTCCATATTCCAATTAGTTTTCGGTTTCTACGGTTGCGTTTTGTCGGTGCAACGCGTGACCCACTTCCAGTACTTGGTCGTACCCCTTCTGTGTGGCACATTTTACGAAGCAGCTCATAAATCACCGACTGTGTGTGTGTGTGTGTGTGTGTGTAGCCACAGTCAGTTCTATCTGCACCATCATTGTCAACAGAAATCACAGCCAAAATACCCTTCAATTGATATTACGACTATGTCATTGGTTTTATTGTCTATGATTAATATTAGCAACGCAGAGAGCCCCTAATCACTCTGATAAGCATTTCCCATAATTCCAGTTGTCTACACTACCGTGCTCGCATTATTGTTGTTGTTAGTCACAAACGAGTCTGAATGTTTCTTGGCAAGAAACCTCGTGGCCAATGTAGGCGATAGGAAAAATCAAATTAATACCCACACTATGTGCGCGTCAGGCCAGTTTATTTACAATTAGTTGTCGACATATTTGAGTCTGCCCCTAGTCCGCCCCTCGACCCATCCCCCCAGTGTTGCCCACAAGCGCACGTATTTTGTATGTTTCGAGCAGCTTAAGTGATTTGGAGCGCCTCCTTAGCTGATTGCTGATAGCAGCGTCATTATCTAGGCAGAGAAGTGCACGTTTTGAGGCGAGATATAAAGCAATATCTATGGCTGGCTGACTGTATGGGTGGTTTACCATTCCGTACGTCTGCTACTGTGCGTTCAACCCCCCAGCTCAAATCTATTTCAGAAACGTTAAATTCAATTTTAATCGCATAAGCCTGTATGTCGTCGCCTATCAGCGACTATCTGTTTATCGCCATGAGGAGCTGGCGGGACTTGCTATTCATTTAATATTGGTATCGTAATAGACGATTTTGGTGTTTTGCTGCTCGTAGCGTTTTTGCAATCAGCTGCACCCCCCACGCCCATCGTCGATTCCCTCCGCTGCACATGGAGCCATTTTTATGGCTAAGTAAATCCCAGCACTTGAGGGGTTTACCCGCATCGACACTGATTTTTATGATAGTTGCTTAGGGTATAAGCTGTTGTCGGGGCTACTGGCGTCAGTTGCATCGCCTAATGCCGGGCGCATGTGCATTACGTACTTGTACACCATATGATGCTAAGCTCCTTGATAACTATGATCAGCAGCTTTATTGTCAGTCAATTGTCATTTGTTTTTGAATTGGAAACCTTTTTATGACAATGATAGTATAGACCTGTTAGGTCACAGCCTAGTCTGGCAAGGTTCCGGAGAATGCGTGAAGCACACTTCACTTCACACTCCACTTTTTCAGATTTCATGTGAGGCATTGCCGTACCACCATTATCCTGCCCTCCTAGTGGCTCAGCCGTTTGAGTCATTTCAAGAAAAAGCTGCTAGTTTGAATAATTATCTGATTGTGTGCATTAAGGCTCGCTTTGTTTGTACTGTAAGTGTAATTGAATAACTCTGTTTCTTGCAGGTAACTCTCTCCCAGATCTGTCGAAGCTCGCACCAGAACACTTATGCCATGCCTGGTGGCGAAATCTCTGATGAGCTGCGACGCAAATTTGACCAGTGGTGGTCGAACCAATTGTCACCCCAAGCCGCCATGACGCCAAAAATGTTACCCTTCATGTCCGCACCGGCAGCGGTGCCCAATGAGATGGACTTTCCTGTGGGTACTGCCATGGCCGCGGCAGCAGCAGCAGCCGCACATGCCGCAGCAGCGGGTGCTGGTGCCGCTTCTCTATCCGGGGGTAATCCATTGGGCGCAATAGGCACTCGCGAATCTTTGCTGCTGGCCAGCGAGGCGGCGGGACATCATGCTGGCGCTGGGAGTGTCGGACAGGGTAGTGCGGCCTCCCATCACGGTAACATGTTGGTACATCCGGCCATGCACGCTTCCATGCACCACCATCATCATGCAGCTCACGCCCAATTCCCCAACCAAAAGACGCGTATGCGCACCAGCTTTGATCCGGAAATGGAGCTGCCAAAGCTGCAGAAGTGGTTCCAAGAGAATCCACATCCCTCACGGCAGCAAATACAGACGTATGTGGTGCAGCTGAATGCGTTGGAGTCGCGGCGAGGTCGCAAGCCGCTCGATGTCAACAATGTGGTTTATTGGTTCAAAAATGCGCGTGCTGCACAAAAGCGCGCCGAGATGCGCGGCGGCTTGGGCACAGCGATGAGTGCGCTGGGGCATGCTGCCATGAATGGTTACCTCAGTCAGCATGCACAGCTGGGCCAGAACTCCAGCAGTAGTGCTGGTAGCCAGCCCATGAGTATGGGAAATCTGTCGATGTCGCATGACTATCTGAAGAGCCCAATGAGCCTTAAGTCCGAGGACATAGACACCATGTCGCAGCACTCCGATGAAATGGAGGACGAGCCCAGTAGACCTAATACGCCGCAGCTGCCGTTGTCGCTCACCATGCACGAGCGCAATCGCAGCTCGCCAGCGTCCAATGCTGATGAGCGTGGTGAGGATCCAACGCGTGCGGCTGGTCAGCGCACCAAGAGTAGGGGTAGTGAAGAGCGGGATATCCTAAATGGTGTCACTTTATTGCGCACTAGTCGCTCTCACTCGCGGGAACTGAACGAGGATGAGCGTGAGGAGAAGGCGCCACATCTGGCGACCGATGCACCAGATAACGACAACTCCAACGGAAATGCTTCAGCCGAGGAGCGTCAGTTGAACGCTGAGGCTGGCAATAACAACAACTTAGCTGGTGGTGGCGAAAGCAATAATATTAGTAGCAACAATAACAGTAATAACATTCACAAGCCGACCAATAGCGAGGGCATGCAGCAGGATGCGGATGTTACGTCCAAACAGGCCACACCCAAAGAGGAAGATGAGGATCTGGACATGGACGAGGATGACGATGACAATGAAAACGATGCCAGTCACCTGGATGAGTTTCGTTCCCCATCACCCGACATGACCGGTGCTGTGGTCCCGCACAAGGATCAGTTGCCATTTCCCATGGTGCCCAACTCGATGTTCTCTCAGTCGTTTATGTACATGAGCCACTACATACCGGCATTTGGTCAAGCCGCTGCTGCCCACCCACATGCTCATCATGCCGCCGCCGCTGCCGCCGCCGCAGGTATGCAGCCCAACCCGCTTATGGGTGGCGGCGGTCTTAACTTGTCCAGCATATCGAACGAGGAGCGTCGCAAACGCAACCGAACCTTCATTGATCCGGTTACCGAAGTGCCGAAGCTGGAACAGTGGTTTGCCATGAACACGCATCCGTCGCACAATCTGATCCTTAAGTATACGGAAGACTTGAACACCATGCCGTATCGGTAAGACATTCCCTCACTCTCTCAGCCTCCAAGTCCCGGTATTTACAGCCTGTTCTTGTGCTTCTTTCTTCTCATTGCAGTCAAAAGTTCCCGCGGCTCGAAAGCAAAAACGTTCAGTTTTGGTTCAAGAATCGTCGGGCCAAGTGCAAGCGCCTAAAGATGTCTCTCTACGATAACAGCCAATGCGCTCAGCTGGGCGGTCTCAACTCCTTTGTCCCGAAGTACGAGGAGCGGGACTAAGCAGAATTCCCCCTACTTTGCGAGTTTCGGTAGCATTTGTAAATATTACATATGATAGAAAAAATTAGTTGGCTCCTGTCGGCCATCCATCATCTATTTGAGACACACTATATTTCAGCTATTAAATATTATAAAGAAATGAAAAACATATACAAATAATACCATAAGGATCTACATAATCTAGTTTAGCGAACTCAGTTATGACATTGACTTTAAGTATTATAGGAAAAGAGTCCCAGTAAACGGCAGCATGCAATTGCCAGGAATGAGTTATTTAGTAAAAATTAGAGCAAATACGAGTACTACTTCAACTATATAGTGGGTGGGCGAAGGGAAGGCGTGGCAAATTGGTTGAGCCACGTCTCTAATCAAATATCTAACAACTATGTATTTTAATCGTTTTGAAAGATAAAGATAAAAATAAAAAACCAAAACCAAAGAGAGCATGATTGAAATCGTTATTCAAGCGATATGTAAATAATATTGATCTAAGTAATTGTTTTGAAAATTAAAATGTTTGATTTTTCAATTTTACTTAGTTGTGGACGTTCTGCCTTATTTAAAAATTGCTTTCAAGCTAATAACATATCGCAGCTGCTTGCAAATCATTGAAATTTTGCGGCGTTGAATAATAATATGCTTGAAACATTTTATATTCGTTCATTAATCTTGTTTGGTATGAAATACCTAATTGCTAGAATTGCTAAAACTCTAAACTAACTCTAAACAATTATGAAAATATCAAGAGAAGAAAATAAACAAAAAACTATGTTTTACATTCTTACTCTCTAGTTAGAAAAGTAGCTGTTTTATAGGAGTTTTCGTTGTGTTAGTTTTAAAAATTAAAGGAAATGGATCTATGTCCATTGAATACCTACTACTACTTGTATTTATTCTCTTTAACTAATTGAATTTTGGTAGGTGTATCAAGAAATGCAGCATTTGAAGCTACAAAGAAGTTTAATAAACTGTTCCACTAGTTTGATAAGAATTCAACAAAACATAAATAATATCAACTACATAAAATTACATGTAATTTATTGCAAACATTAAGAACATTCAATTTTATAAGCAGATAAATACAAATTAAAAACCACACACACATTTACACCTACAACTATCTATACATATATATATTCCAAGCAATTATTAAATGATTAAATAAATACAATTTTAAATGTCAAATTACAACAAACGGATTGATGTCTTTCTATTTTCGATCGGGGAGTCATCTTTCGAACTTGCTATAAGCAATGGAAATTAAGTCTTTTAAACGTTAACTAATATATTAACTGATAGTGGTTGTGAAGTTTTCTATACTTCTGTTTTCAAACATGTTTTCTATTCAAAGTAGACGTTCTCTGAATATAATCCTACATTAAATCGGCGAAGCTTAAAGAAAAGCGTTTCAAAAGCAAATGTTTGGCATGAATAATTAAACGATAATAGGTGGCATGCAGAGCACATTCCATATTTATACAGCACTTAGAAAATTTCGAAATGTACCTGCGAATTGCACGCTGATTTTCCAACATCAAATGCATCTCCTAATGTGCAAAGTGTGCACAACATATGCACAGAAATTACGTGCATTCTGGAGGGGGGTAGGGCAGGATCGGGTGGGTAGAGTGCTGGTGGTTTTCTACAAATGTGTAATAATGTATTTGGCAATTTCTCATATTCGCAGCACATGATGTGCTTTATTTCCTTGTGCCTTTGCTTTTTTATTCATTTTTTTTGGCTATGCGCTGATAAGCAGACTGGAAATAAATATGCATACGCAGAAAGCGAACAAAATGGACTCCTCCTTTCGTATTTATTCAGCTGCGGCTGCGATGCCACACATTGTGCCACACGACGTATGAGTTATCTGCTCGAGCAAGTATATTAGCATCGTCGTGCGGGCATCTTCGCGCCAGATATGAAACAATATATTAGCGCCAAACTTTATTTCTTTTCTTTCTTTATTTCGCGTTCGCCTTTACAAATATAAAAAAGTACATGCAACACACAAAAACACACGCACACACCCACACACACCCACCCACATGTGGAGGTGGAGTGTTGGTGGTGGTTACTAAATCAGCAGTAAACATTATTTCTGATTTTAAGAGGTGTGTGGGTGTGTCTGCATGGATGTGCATCATTTGTTATCGCGAACTTTTAAATTAAATTGTGAGCGAGTAGGAAGAGCAGCACGTAACATGGCGCCTTTCCAAAAATTTATGAGCATATTTTTAGGCGGCCATATTAAATGACTTTATTTATGAATTTCATAGAAAGCATTATGAGCTTTTAGGCGGCTGATTATCACCATGAACGGCAATACTTGGACTGAAGGGCTATTTAGAGTTTTTACACTATTTTCGACCCTATCATGGTCCCTGCCAGGCGAATCCTTCTATTTCTTTAAATAGTAATGTTTTATATGGCAAGTGGTCGCCCAATCACAAGGCTAGTAGCCACACATATACTAACATTTGTGTAGTCGTAATAAATAAAACGAAAAAACACCCTCGCAAATCATAAAACAAATCAAAACTTTCCTCCCCTTGGTTACAAAAAAAGGAAGAAAATGCAAACATACTCCGCCTGTTCCCTAAAGTACTTTGTGCTGTTGTGAAAATACATAAATATTTACATAACACACTTAATTCCTGTACGCCTCAGAAATGTTCTTGCCAAATGCCTTTCGTTCGCAAAGAGCAAAATTGCAAAACAGCTCCAGAGTCGAGTGGAATTCCGCACAACTTTATCCATTAATTAAAATTGTTAACGTCGTCTCAGCCTTGCGGTTGGCTCCTGCGTGAAGTTCCACCCCAGTCCACCAATCTGTTTCCAGGTATGCGCCACTTTGTAGAGTTCCTCTATTTTTTCGAGTGGTATTAAAAGTAAATACATAAACAGGCACGAGTGGAAATGAAAACATTTGCATAGGTTCGCCGTGCTTGTGGTTTTCATCGTGGTTTGTGAAAACCGGCGCTCCGCTGCACCAGTAATAAGTTTTCTTGGTAATTTCTTTGCCAAGGTGAAGAGCATAAATCGAGCTTGCGAAAACTTTCTCAAATTTCGTTATAATGTGTAATGGCAAATAAATCTGATTTTGAGTAATTTCAAGAAGCACTTATTTTGCAGCAGTCAAATAATTTTTTTAACTAAATTATTTATTAAGTCTAATTCACTAAAATGTAATATTTGTATATAAAGTCTTAACAAATATCATAAGTTTGTATACTCGAAATTGCAAAAACAATATCTTAAAAGAGTTACATCTAGCGCTACTATATATATATGGGTATATTATGGCTATATTATAGTTTATATCTTTCATTCAATATAGCATATTGAGCGTTTCGATCTCATGTTTAAGATATAAATCTTATTATAGATGGTGGCCTAAGCCATACTTTATCTCGTTGTAAATAGTTTTGATAGAAAACTAGATATTTTAATTGCAATTTGAAATTGTCATTATTGATTTATTCATATTAGGTAAGGGTAGGTTAGGTTTAAATTGGGAATCAATTCGAGGAGTGGTTTAATAGTCTATTAGCATCTTACAGTGTTTAAAAATAGTAGTAATACGAGCCATGTATTTTTATTATTTTATAATTGTTTAATTATTCTTATTATTTTTAGTATTATAAAAATATATCATGCTTTAATTATATAATTGCTGCTTTGTTTATTTCTCTCTGAGGCACGAAGTAAGCTCATTGCATTTTATTAGTTAGCTTTGTGAAGTATTGAAACTATACAAGCAGTAGAAGGATAAAAGCCAATTTATTAAAAGGAAATTACAAGCGACTTGAGGTCCAAAACTGAGTGCAAGCAAACCGAGAATTCAAAAGACAGCAGGAACGACTGTTCCTTTTCTGTTGTGCAGCTGCGAAAATGAATTTCTTTTTGGCAATTAATGCCATGCCAAATACACGAAATGAACACAGAGTAGAAAGCAAAAAGGACAAGGGACCTGCAGCAGTAAAGGACCAACGAGGACGAGTCTGGTGTGGGCGTGAAGGCGGAGGCAGAGGTGGGTGCTGCCGCATGCTTTGCCGCATAAATAGTTTTGCGGCTTTGACTGATATGCGATGGCAATAAAACTAATGAGCGTGCGAGCCAACTAGTTGGCGGTGGTTGGAAGGCATAGTACTGGCGCTGTTGCTGTTGTTGTTCTTGTTGTTGTTGGTAAAGCGGATGCGAATGCGGATGCTGTAGTGGTGGGTGTCTACAGGACACTAATTTGGCAAATTGACTGCGCAAACAAAACAAAAACAAGCAGGCAGAGGCAGAGGCAGCGGCAACGGAAAACAAGCGAAGGGGAAGTCAAATGAATAAACGCAAGTCCAATTAAATGGTCATAAGTAATAATAATTCCACTTTGATTTGTGACATTCGCTTTCGACGGCAATTCGAACGACTATGTTGGCCGAACACTCTTTCCCCAAACCGAAAATGTTGCAATTGTTTTGGTTTTCTAAGTAATAAATCAATAATCGGTAATTCGGGAGACGTGAAATTTGAGTTCGAATGTCAGGGAAGCATATTAATACGCTTGAGATTAAACCTTTATGTGTTAAACATTTTTAAGTACTTACACAATACAGATACATAAGATGAAATACAGAGCGAAACGAATTAAAATCAAATCATCAAAGGGCTACTAATGAGCAAACAAAGATGCTAAAAACTTACTTCAAGTTTAATGAAGCTATGTATTTATAGTTTATTTAAATATTTTAAGAAATAGAAATCCATTTCTTCTACTCATTTTTTTTGGAGTTAAAAAAGATTTCTTTAACCGAGTTATATCTCGTTTTGCTTAATGACTTGTTTGTTATATTGCTTCATGAATATCATAGGTCTTCAATTTTGTAGGCTAGATCTGGTTTGTAAAGACAAAAAACGAAGAAAACAGCGTGTGTTTGGTTAATTCTGGTCACTTCTTGGTTTTTAGTGCAGCCGTAAGCTGTTTATCGGAACTTGGACCATCCGCCAAACTAACCAAAAGGAAATGATATGAAATATTTTGTATATTGTGCGACTCTGAAATGTGTGTGATTTATGTAATTATTTTCATTGTTATGGACTCAAATACTAGAGTGTCTGTCGAATGGCAATACTTTAATTACAGGGCACGGAGATATCATTATTTCAAGTAGCTCTTCGTATCCATATCTTTGATGCACAAACGGCCGGTTCAGCCCCTCAACGATTTTCCTAGGGCAGAGCTACAACCCCACAGCCCGCCACAACATAGCATTAAACCTTTAGCAGGAGTTGTAAGAAGTGCCATCAAATGGTAATAATTCTTGTTAGGAAGGCGGCCACGTCTTTGCAAAGATTTACGCAAACATGGCTCTGTAACTGACTCACGTGGTCCTGTGCCTGCGACTGGTCCTGGATGGCCACTGTCCCATGCTCTAGTCGCTTGCTGTT